TAGATCATAAAAGAGGTTTGGGAACCAAAAAAATTCAAGAAATCTTCACTTGTTTTATTGTTGAAACTATTACAGATGTCCCCCAATTTTCTGTCTGTCCCTCTCCACCCCCTGCCCCACCCCAGCCTTCACCATAGTGTTGTGTGTGTCCACAGACTATCCATATATGCATATACAAGGTCTATCCGGAAAAAGTAGAACCATTGTTAATAAAATGAGAATGGTTTGCATGACATCAGTGTCATGCAAAGGAAACAGCCAAGGAGAGTGGACTGGAATGCGCATGTGTAAATAATAATGACTTCACTGTGCTGGTCAGTGGGGGCAGTAGACACTGTTGAGTGAGTGTGTGTACTGTGTGGCCATCATATTCAAAATGAGAGAGTAAAGCAAGGAATCTGCATGAAATGTTGCATTAAGCTTGACACTTTCTTCGTGGAATCTATTTGGATGACTCAGAAAGCCACAGCTATGGGCAACTGGTGATTGGCAGCTTCATCACAATGTGCCTGCTCATGCATCAAGTATCATGCAGAGTTTTTTGGTGAAACATCAAATTACCCAGGTTACTCAGCCCTCCTACACCCCATATTTGGCTCCCTGTAACTTCTGTTTTTTCAAAACTAAAACCACCTTTGAAAGGGAAGAGATTTCAGACCATTGATGAGATTCAGGAAAATACAACAGGCAAGCCAATGGCAGTTGGGAGAATTCTGTGAGGTCCCAAGGTGCCTACTTTCAAGAGGCTGAGGCACCATTGTCCTATGTATAATGTTTCTTGTATCTTCAATAAATGTCTCTATTTTTCTTTCTACATGGCTGGATACCTCCTGGACAGACCTTATATGTTCTTTGGCTAATCTCTTTGAGTCCCCCCAACCTTCCTGCCCTCTGAGATCTGTCACTCTGTTCCACGTATCCATGCCTATGGTTTTATTTTGTTTGTCAGTTTATTTTGTTCATTAGATTCCATAGGTAAGAGAGATCATATGGTGTTTGTCTCTCTGTGGCTGCCTTATTTCACTTAGTAAAATATTCTCCAGATCCATCCCTGCTGTTGCAAAGGGCAAGAGTTCCTTCGTTTTTACAGCAAGATAGTATTCCATTGTGTAAAGGTAATCTTCACCTTTAATCCTGGAAGTTCATAGAAAATATAGGTTCTTTTTCATGTTGTTTCAGCCAAGTCCAACTTAATTATCTAACACTTCAACAATGTTTACTATGTGCTAGTCATGGAACTAAGTGCCTTACCTTTTTAACTTAGTTAATTCTTGCAGTAATTATGTGAATACATTCTATTATTATTCCTGTTTTACACTTGATAAAACTGAGACACAGGTTCAAACAGCTAGTAAGAGGAAAAGCCAGGCTTCTCACTCAAGCAGTCAGGCTTTAATGACCACTCTTAATTCACTGTAATGACTGTGTAGGTAACAGCCCAGTATTACATGCATGTATTAGAAGGTCTACAAATAAATATGCATTTTTTATTTATTATAATTATAGATTTCTTTTTAAAATTTTTCATTGTCATTAGAGTTGTCCCAATTTTTCTCCCTCTGCCCTCCTCTGCCTAGCTTACACCCTGGTCCCACAGTCAATCCCCACACCATTGTCCATGTCCATGGGTCATTCATACATGTTCTTTGACTAGTGCCTTCCCATTCTTTCCACTATTATCCCCCTTCCCCTCCCCTCTGGTCACCATCAGACTGTTCCTTGTTTCCATGCCTCTGATTCTATTTTGCTCATTCATTTATTTTATTCATTAGATTCCTCTTATTGGTGAGATCATATGATATTTGTCTTTCACTGACTGGCTTATTTCACTTAGCATAATATTCTCCAGTTCATTAATGGTTTTGGAAAAGGTAGGAGCTCCTCCTTTCTTTCTGCTGTATAGTGTTCCATTTTGTAAATGTACAACAGTTTTTTGATCCACTCATTTATTGATAATGACTTAGGGTGTTTCCAGCACTTGGCTATTTTGAACAGCAATTTGCTTTTTTTCTTTCTTTTTTAAATATATTTTATTGATTATGCTATTACAGTTGTCCCATTTTCCCTCTTCACTCTCCTCCACCCTGCACATCCCCTCCCACCCACATTCCCCCCCTTTAGTTAACGTATGGATCATACTTATAAGTTCTTTAGCTTCTACATTTCCCATACTATTCTTATCCTCCCCTTATCTATTTTCTACCTACCATCTATGCTACTATTCTCTGTATCTTTTCCCCCCTCTCTCCTCCTCCCACTCTCCTGTTGCTAACCCTCCATGTGATCTCCATTTCTGTGGTTCTGTTCCTGTTCTAGTTGCTTGCTTAGTTTGTTTTTGTTTTGTTTTAGATGTGGTTGTTATTAATTGTGAGTTTTCTGTCATTTTACTGTACATGTTTTTTATCTTTTTCTTAGACAAGTCCCTTTAACATTTCATATAATAAGGGCTTGGTGATGATGAACTCCTTGAACTTGACCTTATCTGGGAAGCACTTTATCTGCCCTTCCATTCTAAATGAAAGCTTTGCTGGATAGAGCAATCTTGGATGTAGGTCCGTGCCTTTCATGACTTGGAATACTTCTTTCCAGCCCCTTCTTGCCTATAAGGTCTCTTCTGAGAAATCAGCTGACAGTCTGATGGGAACCCATTTGTAGGTAACTCTCTCCTTTTGTCTTGCTGCTTCTAAGATGCTCTCCTTCTCTTTAATCTTGGGTAATATAATTATGATGTGCCTTTGTGTGTTCTGCCTTGTGTCCAACATCTTAGGGACTCTCTGAGCTTCCTGGACTTCCTGGAATTCTATTTCCTTTGCCAGAATGCAGAAGTTCTCCTTTGTTTGTTCAAATAACTTTTTCACTTGTTGCTCTTCCTCTTCTCCTTCTGGTACCCCTATAACTCAGATGTTAGAATGTTTAAAGATGTCCTGGAAGTTCCTAAGCCTCTCCTCATTTTTAAAAATTCTTATTTCTTCAGTCTTTTCTGATTGGATGTTATTTTCTTCCTTCTGGTCCACTCCATTGATTTGAGTCCCAGTTTCCTTCCCATCACTATTGGTTCCCTGTACATTTTCCTTTATTCCACTTAGTATAGCCTTCATATTTTCATCTAATTTGTGACCAAATTCAACCAATTCTGTGAGCATCCTGATTACCAATGTTTTGAACTGTGCATCTGATAGGCTGGCTATCTCTTTGTCACTTAGTTGTATTTTTTCTGGAGCTTTGATCTGCTCTTTTGTTTGGGCCTTTTTTTTCTTTTCGTCTTGTCCTGCTTGTTATGTAGTGAGGGGCAGAGCCTTAGGTGTTCACCAGGGCGGGCAACCTAGTCACTGGGTTGCGACCCTGTATGTGAGGCAGGGGTCTGAGAGGGAACAGTGGTGCTTCCTCTGCTCTCTGCAGGATTTCAGTCACTTCCCCCACTTCCCACAAGCAAACTGGGCCCTTCCGGTGCTGATTCCCATGTGGGTGGGTTTGTGTACATTCTAGGACCCTGTGTGTCTGCAATGAACTCTCCTGTGAGGCTGGGAGTTTCTCCCAGCACCTCAACCCCAACAGTTGTTTTTAATCAGTATTTTGAGGCTTATTTCCCAGCACTGGGGCCCTGGGTTTTGCCGTCTGTCTTGCTCCCCAGTTTCACCTGATTTATCTGTGGGCCAACGTGGGACTGCCTGGTCTGCCAGCGACCTTGTGTGCCCCGCCCCTCCACAATCTGCTGCCTCGCTTGGTCTGCCAGCCACCGCTTTGCTGCAAGTCCACTCTGCCCTGGCTGCCCAACTCTGCCCCTTCGACCAGTCTGGACGAATGTGTCTACTTTAACTCCTTGGTTGTTGGATTTCCATGCAGTTCAATTTACTGTCAGTACTGGTTGTTTTTTGTTTTTAAATTGTTGTTGTCCTTATATTGGTTGTGTGAGGTGGCACAGTGTGTCTACCTATGCATCCATCCTGGCTGGAAGTCTGAGATTTGCTTTTTCAGTCTCAAGATTACAACCAGTAGAAATACATTATCAAACTTATTTTATGTAATGTTCATATATGTTTCAGTACTTATTACACATCTGCTATGTGCTCAGCATTGTACATAGATTCACTTAAAGTACCTCATTTAAAACTCTGAGTTGCATTTGAGGTCAGTACAGTTATCCCCATCTTATAGATGGTAAAACTGAAATTCTGAAAGAATAAATAACAAACCTCATCTCAATTTTGAAGTATTAGAAGAATAGTCTAACTTACGTCTCTCTCTCCCCTCAGCTGCTGCATATCTTAGCTTCTACACTGGGCTGGGTCTTCAATTAAATACAACAGACATTGATAAAACATATTCTAAAGGGGACAAAGTTTATAGAAATCCACCTAGTTATTGGCAGTCCAAGGCAGAATGTAGTAAGTGGATAGACATGAGAAGCTACCCAGTCTTTAGTTTGAGTAAATCATTTTGAGTCCATCAATCCAGAAAGTTCTACTAGATAGCACCTCAGTGGCTTCTCATGTCCTGCCACTCTCCCCCTTGTTCACTCAATTCCAATTTCACTGGCTTCCCAGCTAGTTCTTAAACATGCCAAGCATACTCTCACCTCAAGTCCTATGCAGTTGGTCTTCTCTCTTCCTAGAATAATCTTCCCTCTATTATATCTACATGGCTTGTCATGTCTGTACTCAAATGTCATGTAATAAGATAGACTTTTTATGACCACTGTATATAAAACAGCAATCCACCCAACTCCTTGACCCTACTATTCTTTGCTCTGATTTGTTTTAATTAGCATTAAACACCATCTGATATATGATTATTTATTTATTTGTTTTTTTAACTTTCTCTCTCCCTACTCCCAAACTCTTCATTCCTTGACTTTAGCTACACAAGGGCAAGGATATATTTTCTTTTTCTTTTCTTTTTTAAATGGACTACTCTACCCCAATTGTCTAATGTAAAGCCTCACAGGGCAGGTAAATGAAAGAAAGAATAAATGAAAGCATGAAATTTGTTCTGTCTCACAGGAACCAGTGGCTGGGACAAGCTATGGAAAAAGTACGGATCCCGCTTACCCCGTGATGACCTCTGCCAGTACATCACAGCAACTGATCTCACCCAGATGATGGATAATTTAGGAATTAAATATGAGTGTCATGACCTTCCTTCCACCATGGACATATCTGACTGTTTTATTGATGGTAATGAAAATGGAGTCCTGCTTTGGGATTTTTTGACAGAAACCTGCAACTTTAATACAACAGCACCACCTGATCTCAAAGCAGAAATTATGAAAGCTCTACAAGAGCCTGAATTCAGTGTTAAGAAAGATGGAAAGGTTCTTTTTAATAATAATCTGAGTTTCATAGTGGTTGAGGCATAAATATCAATCATGAGAGTATCTTAAAAATTATATTGTAAACAATGATCATTTATTTCTGTATTCAAATTACAAATAAATTTCATAAATATAAATAAGACATTTTCTCTTATGTATAAAATCTAGAAAATTGTAACATTCTTGGACTTCCATGTACACCTAAGTATAAATGATATTGTGGATATTATCCCATCCCTTCTCCAGGTTGGAAAAATGAGACAACTAAGTTTCACTGGCTTATTGACAATAAAATTCTTTCCATTTGCTGATTGTACTGGAATTTCCTACAACACTAATAAAGTATGTACTATGGATTCTTTAAATACTACTAAAGTATATGCTTATTGATACTTTGAACACTAAGAAAGTGTGTATTGATTTTCCCCTTTTGTGAAGAAGTATTTGTCTGTACAGTCCTCTATTGTAGTTGCCATCTCATTTGTATTGATTATTAAAAGTAAGCACTTTTAGGATATTGTAAAATTAACTCTTTGTTATTTAGGATATTGTAAAATTAACTCTTTCTCATTTCCTCTCAGCTTGTTTTCTTTTTTAGTCTCATCTAATACTTTTATAATGTTTTGTTTCTTTTTTTTAATATACTGAAGTTTTTTTCTTTTTTTCCTTTTTTAATTTCTGGGTTCTTGACACATTTTAAAAGGCCTTCTAAAACCATTTTGAAAGATTAACATTTTATAATAATGTATGGTTTTATATTTTAAAACATATTTCTTTGATATGTTTGAAACTAGTACAAGTGTAAAAGAGTGATATTGAGAATAGCTGCTTTTCCTATAAGAGATAAGCCAGCTATATCAACACAATTAATTTAAAATCCACTGACTTAAAATACACCTCTTATCATTTATTCAATTTCTAGAAAACATTAAATCTTTTTTCATACTCTGTACCCCTTTATGTCTCTCTAAGATCTTAAACAAGAGTCATTTTTGTAAAGTAAGATTTCAGGGAATTTTTAAAAACTTATTTGATGTGCTTTATTTTATTTTTAATAATAAGCATCTATGATTCTTATAAAAATAGTATACATCTCTTTATATAAATAAATAAATAAATAAATTTTAATTAATAAATAAACATATTTTAAGGTATATTTTATTGATTATGCTATTACAATTGTCTCAATTTTTTTCTCCCATTTATTCCCCTCTGTCCTGCATCCCACCTCCCTCCAGCATTCCCCCTGCCTTAGTTCATTCATGTCCATGGGTCGTACACAGACAACCAACCCGTAAGTTCTTTGGCTTCTCCATTTCCTATACTACTCTTAACCTTCCCCTGCCTATTTTGTGCCTACAAATCATGCTTCTTATTCCCTGTACCTTTTCCCCCAACTTACCCTCCCCCTCACCACTGATAACCCTCTCTGTGATCTCCATTTCTGTGATTCTGTTCCTGTTCTAGTTGTTTGCTTAGTTTGTTTTTGTTTTGGTTTGGGTTAAATTGTTGAGAGTTGTGAATTTGTTTTCATTTTACTGTTCATAGTTTTGAACTTCTTTTTCTTAGGTAAGTCCCTTTTAACATTTCATGTAATGAGGGCTTGGTGATGATGAACTCTTTTAACTTTACCTTACCTGGGAAGAACTTGATCTGCCTTTCTAGTCTAAATGATAACTTTGTTGGATAGAGTTATCTTGGATGTAGATCCTTGCTTTTCATGACTTTAAATTCTTCTTTGAGTGCCTTCTTACCTGTAAGGTTTCTTTTGAGAAATCAACTGATAATTTTATGGGAACTCCTTTATAGGTAACTGTCTCCTCTTCTCTTGCTGCTTTTAAGATTCTCTCCTTCTCTTTAATCTTGGGTAATGTAATTATAATATGCTTTGGTGTGTATCTCCTTGGATCCAACTTCTTTGACACTCTGAGCTTCCTGGACTTGCATGTCTAGTTCTTTTACCAGAATAGGGAATCTTTCCCTCATTCTTTTTTTCAAATAACTCTTCAATTTCTTGCTCTTCCTCTTCTTCTGGCACCTCTATGATTCAGATTTTGGAATGTTTAAAGTTGTCCCAGAAGTTTCTAAACCTTTCTTCATTTTTTTGAATTCTTGTTTCTTCATTCTGTTCTGGTTGAATGTTTGTTTTTCTTTTGCTCCAAATCTTTGATTTGAGTCCTGGTTATCTTCCCTTCACTGTTGGTTCCCTGCATATTTTTCTTTATTTCACCTTGTATAGCCTTCATTTCTTCCTTCATTTTGAAACCAAACTCAATAATTTCTGTGAGCATCCTCATTATCAGTGTTTTAAACTGTGCGTCTGATAGGTTGGCTATCTCCTCATCACTTAGTTCTTTTTCTGGAGCTTTGATCTGTTCTTTCATTTGGGCCATATTTCTTTATCTCAGCACACCTGTTACATTGTAAGGGATGGAGCCTTAGGTATTTGCCAGGGTGGGGCAACTCACTTCCCTGCACTGTAGCACTGTATGTGTGGAAGGCTTCAGAGAGGAAACAGTGCTGCTTGCTCGGCTCTAGCCCTGCTTTTAGTCACTTCTTCACTTTCTACAAGAGGATTGTGCCTCTTCAGGTGCTGATTCCCAGGTGGGTGCTCTTGTGTACATTCTAGGATCCTGTGGGCCCCTCCAATGACTCTCCCTGAGACTGGGTACTTTTCCTGCTGCTGCAACTCATGTAGGTTTTTACAGCCAGAGGTTTTGAGGCTTTAGTTTCCTGTACTGGAACCCTGGGTTGCATGTGGTCTGTCTTGCTCCCTGGTTATTCCTCCTGGCTTATCCATACATGAACATGTGATATGTCAGTCCTCTAACCACCTTGTTGCACATCGTCACCACCCCAGCTTCCTGTCTCCACCCTACCTACCAGTCTGGATGAATGTTTCTTTAACTCCTTGGTGGTTGGACTTTGATACAGTTTTATTTTCTGGCAGTTCTGGTTGGTTTTTGTTTTTAAAATGGTTGTTATCTTTCTTTTGATTGTGCGGGGAAGCAAAGTATATCTATCTATGCTTCCATGTTGGCCAGAATGCTCTTAATAAATATATTTTTAAGGTAAGTAAAAAACTTTTACTTCATGTTAGAAACAACACAAATGTAAGGCTTTACTAAAGCGCTCCTGAACTCATTCTTAAAGTAATGAAGCCTTCAACACAATATCATAGTCACTCTTTCACACTACAGAGCTACTACTTAATGCTGCACTATAGACACTTTAAAGAGAAACCCAGAAGTACACCGAAGTTCAGAACCTATTTGCATTAACAAATGACTAAGCTTTGTTTTTCATCATGACTGAAACTGGCTTGTTTTGCCCTCTTTTCTTGAACAACTTCATTAATGTTTTTTGAATTATAAGTTTCAACAAATGACATGACAGTTACCCAATCAGATTCCTCAGTGTGAGCCCTGAACCATTAATCATATTGATACGTACTACTGACAGAGGAAATCCATGAGGCACACATGATTGATGAATATGGACCATGATGACCTTGAACAACTTTGCCAAAAGGATGGAAATCAAGACTCTACAGAGCATATTATGACCTTTTAAAAAAATCAAATGTGCAAAACAAAAAAGCATAGAACTAACATGCTACTAAAAGAAAAGAACAGCAGTCCATAGATATTTGTGTATACATACAACCTTTTTCTCATCCCTATACAGCTCTTACTATAAAATACAAGGATAAATAAATTCTCACTTGCTTCAATTTAATGAAACAGGAACACTCAAGCCTTTTTAAAAATAAAACCTCCATGAACACCTGCCAGTTGGTGGTGAAAAGTTACAAGGATGAAACTATTGGTTTCTGTCTACAGTGCACTAGACCATACAAAGGATCAGGGTAGTCATATACTGACTTTTCAAGTCTGTTCTTGAGATTCAGAAAAAAAAAAGCCTGCAACATGAGTTTGGAACATTTTTACACATCATTGTACATCTCCCAGTGTTTAACATGGTGCCACATATATAGAAGATACTAAATAATAGGTATTCAATGAATTCTGTACTTCTCAAGAATCTTTCATAGCTATGCATTTATATTCTTATTTTAACATAGCTCAAGAAAACAAACAAAACCCTTAGTATAAACCTTAACTTATTTAAAGTGGAGCACTATGTTTTAGGGCCTTGGTATTTGCTTAAAAAATTAACAAATGTCTTCATTGAAAACTCTGTCAATTTGGGCACAATATTTTTAATTTCTGGTTATACCTACATAAAAACAGATGCAAGGGTCATAGGGAATACTAGATCTTAAGTCTAACTGTACAGACCTGAGGGTATATTTTATGTATTTTAAATGTTTATTAATAATAGCTTATCCAACATATTTTAACATTTTAAGAGCATATTTGCATGTGTTTACCCCCTTAGAATGTTATTTCTAAGAAAAAAGGACTTCTTGCCAAGCCTCACAGGGGAATTAATGTATGAAATAGTCCTATTAGATGAAGAGGTTGAACCAGACTTCCTGGGTTTGAATCTTGGTTCTGTTAACTCATTAAGAGATCTCAGGAAACTTATTTTCTCTCTATTCCCACATTTCTTTGTCTTCAAAATGAAGTTAATCATAGTAACCTACCTCAGAGGATAACTAGGATTTCAGGAGTTAACTACATAAGTATTCTCATAAAGTAGTAGCAGGTTCATAGGATATTTCAAAAATATTAACTATGATTATTATTAATTGCTCATAAAAATTCAACATAAAATTCAGAGCAGACAAAAAGTAAAATTGAGGTCTATTATGACTGAGGCCAGAGAGTTACTAGAGGAGCCAAACTAGTTCCTGACCTTGACATTTCTAGTCAAAGGTATATGGCCTCTCTGCGTCTATTAGAGGCTGAGCTGGTGCTTCACAAAACTCAAGGTGTCATCAGGGTTGGGATACTTAAGCCTCACTGAGGGAATCTGCCTGCTTGACACTAAGTACCTGCACTCTGTACTATATGAAGTGATCCCATCCCAACTCTGTCCCTGAGTAGACCAATGTCCACTAACTGGCTAAGTATCATTTGATTGGAGTGGTTCCTTCTGAAAAATATGGAATGGATCCTTCTAATTCTTCTCTTAGAAGTCTGGAATTATAATTCTGGAGAAATCAGGCATTGGTTGTATTGCTTGTTCATAAAATATATCATTTAACTACTATTGATCACAATGTAAGACATTGTTCTAGGCAAGGGCAGTACTGCAGTTAAAAAAAAGTCAGATAGTGATAGTCACTATTAAGATAAATAGAAGTAGACAAAGAGAAGAGAATACCAGATGGTATATTA